TTTTTCTTGGTATTTTTAGTAGAAATGAGCTTTCACCATGTTGGCCAGGATGGTCTCAATCTCTTGACTTTGTGATCCACCTGCCTCGGCCTCCCAAAGTGCTGGGATTACAGGCGTGAGCCACAGCGCCCGGTATATACATATCCGTATATTAGAAAATGAACTATATGTAAGTTGTGGGCATCATGATCCTTCACCAGGGTTAGGATCAGGATTAGGTGAATGAGGCAAAAAAATTTAAGAGGGCAACAAAAAGTAATTAATGTGCATATTTTAGTGTACCAATGTTAAGGCAAAAAGCCCATGATAGCCAAATATTGAAATAAAGACAGGCTGTTGTTGTTTGTTTTATGACCCTGCATTATTGTGCAGTGAGAATAGTGTTTCCAATCAGCCCTTGGTTCTGGGATATGTGGCTGCCGAGTTTATAAGGTATGACAATGACATGCAAGCAGATTGGGCAATGCAGGCTTTATTTGCAGCTTACATTAACTTTTTTTTTAAATTTGAGATGGAGTCTCGCTCTGTTGCCCAGGCTGGAGTGCAGTAGTGTGATCTCAGCTCACTGCAACCTCTGCCTCCCGGGTTCAAGTGATTCTCTTGCGTCAGCCCCCCAAGTAGCTGGGACTACAGGCTCGTGCCACCACGCCTGGCTAATTTTTAGTATTTTTAGTAGAGACAGGGTTTCACCATGTTAGCCAGGATGGTCTCGATTTCCTGAACTTGTGATCCACCCACCTTGGCCTTCGAAAGTGCTAGGATTACAGGTGTGAGCCACTGCATCTGGCCAGCTTTTTATACTTCGTACAAAATATGCATAAAGGCATACATTTCTCTTTTGGCCTCTTGCTCCCATATGGCTCAGCACTAAGTAGTTCAATGTGCATCTCCTAAGAACACAGAGATTCTCCTATGGAACTGTGGCGTAGTGATCACACATAGGAAGTTTGATACTGATGCATTACAACTATCCATATATAACGAGATTTCAGTTCTCACACTTGTGGCATTAATGATATATTTTCTGTCATGTTCCACCATTCAGGCTCTCTTTGAGGATAATGCATCGAATGTAGTTATCAAGTTTCTTTATTTTCCTTTAATCTAGAAAGCTTCCCTTCCGCCTTTTGACTTTCATGCTGTTGGCATTTTTGAAGAGTCCAGCCCCATTGCTATGTGATTATCTCTCAATTTTGATCCACCTGACTGTTTCCTCAAGAATACTGCATAATGCCTGATTTTTTTTTTTTAAATTCTTATTTGAGCCTTATTATACTGCCTGGCCAAGTAGGACTGAGTGACTTCTCTCTACAGCAGTAGAAGCAGAGTATTCCAAATCATCAGAGCAGATGTATACCTTTTTAGGTGTTAAAGGTTTTGTGCTAGAAAAACTGCCAGCCGAGGCTGGCTGGGCGCAGTGGCTCACGTCTGTAATCCCAGCACTTTGGGAGGCTGAGGCGGGTGTATCACTAGGTTGAGAGATCGAGACCAGCCTGACTAACATGGAGAAACCCCATCTCTACTAAAAATACAAACAATAACTGGGTATGTAGCGTGTGCTTGTAGTCCCAGCTACTCGGGAGGCTGAGGCAGGAGAATTGCTTGAACCCAGGAGGCAGAGGCTGTAGTGAGCTGCAGTTGTGCCACTGCCCTCCAGCCTGGCAACAGAGCGAGACTCTGTCTCAAAAAAAAAAAAAAATGCCAACTGAGAAAACGAGAAGTTTAAGCTCCTGGACCAACTTTGACTGATTGCAAGTGACTTTCAAGGCTCCCCCAAAGTCTAAGCATAACTGAGCATCCCAGCCTCAAAATGCATTTTAAAACTTTTTTTTCTTTCTTGCTTTCAGCCTTGAAACATACTTTGATATTCTTTGTTTCTCTTTTCCACGAGGCACGTTGGTGAACAGTGCTCGCTTATCTAATTAAGTGCTTGCCTAGAAATTCCAGGGGACAATTTTGAAACAAAAAAGGCTCAGGGCCCCAGCAGCAGAATCCTCCTGCTTGGGGGAGTTACGAACAGTTAGGCTACCACTACCGGGCAGAAGTCAGGATGACGCAAACTGGACCTCCGGACCGGCGATTACTCAAGATAGTGATGGGCAAGAGACACACAGAGTTCTTCCCTCCCTTGATATTCTCACATTTTCCCACACTTTTTCCTTCATTTTAAACCCCTTCACTCAGCCCAAAAAGGTGGAACGGTCTTTTAAAGGCTGGCCATTCTCCAACTGGTAGCATTTGGATAAAATTGATTTCCTTTTACTACACCTTTTGCTTCTTGAGTTTTCAGCCTTTTTCTTAGCAGTGAGCAGCTGGACTTGAGCCGGCTATTTTGGGGAGGAAAGAGTCTCCTAAACCATGCCTGAGGTGTGCCTTGGACATCCAAGTGAGGGGTGGGGTAGAGACACTGGCTACTGAGAACTCTGCACCTGGTAAGGAATGATTGTGGCCTTATCATCTGCTGCAGGCAATGATCATTCTGTTTTCTAACCTAACCTGGGCCAGTTTCACTGAACATCCAGACACACACACTGACACACATGAGGGCTGACTAGAAGTTTGTAAGATTGCCCTTTTCTTGTGGCTCGTGGTAAGCCAACCAATTTCTCCATAATCACAGCTCATATACATGTGGTTCAACTTTATGTTCATACAAATCCACAAATGCATGAACTCCCCTTGCAAAGAACTGTTGTTAAACAGTTTAAAAATTCACCTCCCATCCTCCTATTTACCAGTGTTGATCAACATCATAAATATAATGAGAAGATTAAAGGCTGATGAATTAATTCCCTCCCAGGTAGTAGGGAAACAACCTGGAAATATTCTTTATTGTCATTTTGGAACTTAGTTTTGAATATGGAAAAGCCTCATCTACTTGGAATTTAATTAAAAGTAAATAAGCTGCACTATAAAGATTTTACTGGGAAGGGAAGGAAATAGCATCCAGTTTCCTCATTGTGCCCTTCTGTTTAACTCGTCATCCAGTCTGTGCTGGGAATCAATTTCTCAGTCTCTGCCAAACAAGTTTATCATTCTTCAAATCTTTCCTGACGCAGTGGTAAAGAATTTGTATACTTATGGCCTTCTTGGTTAATTCTGCAAATAGAAATAGAGGGAAGTTTAGTAGTGTTTATCCCAATTTTTTTTTTTTTTTTTTTTTTGAGACGGAGTTTCACTCACGTTACCCAGGCTGGAGTGCAATGGCGCGATCTCGGCTCACCGCAACCTCCGCCTCCTGGGTTCAGGCAATTCTCCTGCCTCAGCCTCCTGAGTAGCTGGGATTACAGGCACGCACCACCATGCCCAGCTAATTTTTTGTATTTTTTAGTAGAGACGGGGTTTCACCATGTTGACCAGGATGGTCTCGATCTCTTGACCTCATGATCCACCCGCCTCGGCCTCCCAAAGTGCTAGGATTACAGGCTTGAGCCACCGCGCCCGGCCGTTTATCCCAATTTTAAATGAGCCGCCTCTTTTTAAAAAGTGCAATTTGGGCCGGGCGCAGTGGCTCACGCCTGTAATCCCAGCACTTTTAAATGCTGAGGTTGGTGGATCACCTAAGGTCAGAAATTCAAGACCAGCCTGGCCAACATGGTGAAACTGGTCTCTACTAAAAATACAAAAAATTAACTGTGCGTGGTGGCGGGTGCCTGTAATCCCAGCTACTCAGGAGGCTGACGCAGGAGAATTGCTTGAACTCGGTAGTTGCAGTGAGCTGAGATCATGCCACTGCACTCCAGCCTGGGTGATAGAGTGATACTCCATCTCAAAAAAAAAAAAAAAAAAAAAGTACAATTTGTATTGAGAGAATTATAGATTCACGTGCAGTTGTAAGAAATCACACAGTGATCTCCATCCAGTGCACTTTGCCTCGTTTCCCTCAGTGGTAACTGTAGTACAATATTATAACTGGGAAATCAACATTCATACAATCTACTGATTTTATTCCATTCTCCAGTTTTACTTGTACTCATTTTGTGTGTCTTCAATTTTTTTTCTTTTTTATCAAGACGAAGCCTCACTCTTGTCCCCCAGGCTAGAGTACAATGGCGTGATCTTGGCTCACTGCAACCTCTGTCTGCTGGGTTCAACTGATTCTCCTGCCTCAGCCTCCTGAGTAGCTGGAATTACAGGTGCCTGCCACCACGCCCAGCTAATTTTTGTATTTTTAGTAGAGATGGCGAAAGCTTAGTAGAGATGGGGTTTCACCATCTCTACTAAGGTGAGGAAGGGTGAGGTAGGACATTTAGTGAAATTCTTGCAGCTGAAAGGAAAAAAACAGTTCTTTCCAAAGGTACATTATTGCAACATATAGGCACATTTGACCTGGTGATCTGCCCTCCTCAGCCTCCCAAAATACTGGGATTACAGGCATGAGCCACTGCACCCAGCCGTGTCTTTGGTTTTATACAATTTATTACATGTGCATAAGCATACCTTTGACTTAGCATTTCCACTTAGGAATCTCCCCTCTAGAAATATTTGCCTCTGTGCACAAAGCCACATGTACAAAATATGAACTTCAGTCTTTTCATAGTACTAACAGAAATAATGACCTTCTGCTTACATCATTAGGAGCATAATTAAATACTTTTGGCACAATATGGAATGCTATGCAGCAGTGAATAAAGACAGTAGCATAGCCATAAAAGCTGATATGGAAAGCTCTCCCAGACCAAATAAAAGTAAAAAGCATAGAATAATAGAATAATATAGGGGCTGGGAGTGGTGGCTCACACCCATAATCCTAGCACTTTGGGACACCAAGGCGAGGGGATCACTTGAGGTCAGGAGTTTGAGACTAGCCTGGCCAACATGGTGAAACCCTGCTTCTACTAAAAATACAAAAAATAGCCAGGGGTCGTGGCATGCTCCTGTAATCCCAGCTACTTGGGAGGCTGAGGCAGGAGAATCACTTGACTCCAGGAGTAGCAGTTAGCAATGAACTGAGATGGCACCATGGTACTCGAGGCCAGGTGACAAAGTGAGACTGTCTCAAAAAAAACAAAAATAGAATATAGGTACATTTATGTGGAAAATGTAAATTGATAAATGTGCATACATGTGTATGCATAGAAATGCCTTTAAAAATGTTAATGACACCTCTCAAACTGTTAATAACAGCCACCTAATGTTTCAACTGAGACTCCATAAATCTAAAACAGCTAGGCCTCATCTTTGCAATTAAGACAAATCTGCAGTCACTGCACAGCCAGCCTTTACTTGAGACTTAACTCAGAGCCTTCCCCTATGGGGATGAAAAATCCTCTTCCACCTGGAAGAGAGGAATGCTGGGAGTCCAGAGGTGGCCCTCAGCCTGAAGTAGCACCAAGGGGTGTGAGGCAACTGGGTTTATCTGAAACGACATGGACACAGAACACCCAAATATTTTGTATAAGCAAAATGCTAACAAAATAAGTTTTAATAATTGACAATGGAAAGATAGCAGGTCTCTTCCGCATCCCAGGCCACCTAGCAATCCAGTTTTCCAATTGCAATGGTTCATTATTTATTTAGAAGTTAAAATAAAAGGAGTGGAGGAAGGGTGAAGCAGGACATTTAGTGAAATTCTTGCAGTCGAAATGAAAAAAGCAGTTCTTTCCAAAGGTACATTATTGTAACATATAGACACATTTTCCCATAAGAAACTCCCAGTGAAATTGAAAGCACGTGTGCAGATGGCCAGGGCGTGCTGTGCATGATACTGTGCAAGCAATTCAGCAGGGCTGCTGCTGCAAAACCAGCGTTCTCAGCTCTGGGTGCTGGGGCTTGTCTCCATAACAAGCTACCATGTAACAAACGGATCTCAGCAGGGTGAACAACACTCGCAGAAAGTGAGCTGTTTACTTCGTCCCCACCCTGCTCCCTTAACTCTAAAAAGTTACAAACTGTAAGTTTCCTTCCTGATAAATGCCAAGGCTTCCTCACTGATTGGTCTCAGTTTGGGAAAGGACGTGACATCAGCAACTTCGGAGACTGGGGGCTGGAGGGTTCTTGTGGCCTCTGCCGGGCCTCCAGCCAGTTAGGTAAAGTGTGTGTGTGTGTGTGTGCGCGTGTACCCGAGCGTGTGCTTCTCTCTGAACACAGGTAGTACTCAGATTACCCTGCCTGCTCTGTTCTTTGCTGCAGACCATTTGACCAGGACGTGTGCAGCTCAGCCAGCCACATAAATTTTTCAGGAGCAAGGGGAGCATGAAGTTTGGACTTTGCTGAGCAACTGAAGTACGGCGCAGAGCTTGCTCACTCAGGAGAGAGCACCATGGATGGCAAGCAAGGGGGCATGGATGGCGGCAAGCCCGTGGAGCCAAGAGATGCTTCTGACACCAGGCTTCTTTCGAACCCATTGATGGGCGGTGAGTCATAGGGGCAGTGGATTCAGAGCCCTGGGGAGGTTGGCTAGTAATGTGCTAGGAGAGGAGGGCTGGGCAGTTTCAGTGGCTCTGTCTGAGGTGTCCATGTGGCTGTTACTGGGCAGCTGTCCACAGCTCGCTGGTATATATCCCTTACACAGCTGTTCAAAAATGTGTACACTTCCTTCTGCAGAATCCTAAGACAAGACAAGACAAATTCAATTGCCACAAATTATTCTCTAGTGAAATTTTCAGCTCCCAGGAATCATTCTCTGTGGGTCAAATGCATTATGTATTAAATTGGAGGCTTGAAAGTTACTTATAAATAAGAAAATGTTTAATGCTAAAACTTTGTAAAAAATTTGCACGTCTTAGGTAGTTGGCATTTAGGTGGGGCAGGGTTTATAAATGATGTTCAAACATTGAGCACTGATTTGAGTCACTTTCAAAAGAGACAAAAGAGACTTTGTTTTATTTAAACATTGGAGAATCATCTTGTAGGTATGGTTCTCACCTGACAGGTGGTGTCTGTAGTAATATACAGGATCCCACAAATACTCACTTCTGTGAGCATTCAGCAGGTGCCTGCTGGCTGAAAGGATTCTGAAAAATAGGTTTAGGCATTTGCAGAGGATTTTTTTTTTTTTTAAGATGGCGTCTCGCTCTGTCGCCCAGGCTGGAGTGCAATGGCGTGACCTCAGCTCACAGCAACCTCCACCTTCCGGGTTCAAGCGATTCTCCTGCCTCAGCCTCCGAAGTAGCTGGGACTACAGGCGCGCACCACCACGCCTGGCTAATTTTTTGTATTTTTGGTAGAGATCGGGTTTTACCGTGTTAGCCAGATGGTTTCGATCTCCTGACTTTGTGACCTTGTGATCCGCCCGCCTTGGCCGCCTCCCAAAGTGCTGGGATTACAGGTGTTAGCCGCCGTGCCCATCTTTTTTTTATTTTTGTGGAGTGGGGGACGGAGTCTCGCTCTGGAGTCCAGTGGAGCAATCTCGACTCTTCAACCTCCGCCTCCCGGGTTCAAAGGACTCTCCTGCCTCAGCCTCCCTAGTAGCTCGGACTACAGGTGCCTGCCACCACTCCCAGAAGTTTTGTATTTTTAGTAGAGATGAGTTTTCACCGGGTTGGCCAGGATGGTCTCAATTTCCTGAATTCGTGATCCGCACGTCTCAGCCTACCAAAGTGCTGGGATTACAGGTGTGAGCCACCGCGCCCGGCCTTTTTTTTTTTTTTTGGAGACGGAATTTCCTTCTTGTTGCCCAGGCTAGAGTGCAGTGGCGCGCTCTCAGCTCACTGCAACCTCCACCTCCCAGGTTTAATTCTCCTGCCTCAGCCTCCAGAGTAGCTGGGACTACAGGCGCCCGCCACCACGCCCAGATAATTTTGTATTTTTAGTAGAGATGGGGTTTCACCATGTTGGTCAGAATGGTCTCAATCTCCTGACCTTGTGATTTGCCGGGTCGGGGCCCAAAGTGCTGGCATTACAGGCATAAGCCACGGTGCCCTTCTTTAGTTTTTTGGGATGGAGTCTCACTCTGTCGTCCAGGCAGGAGTGCAGTGGCGGGATTTCGGCTCACTGCAACCTCCGACTCCCGAATTCCAGCGATTCTCTTGACAGCCTCCCGAGTAGCTGGGATTATAGGCATGTGCCATCACGCCTGGCTAATTATATTTTTAGTAGAGACAGGGTTTCACTGTGTTAGCCAGGCTGGTCTTGATCTCCTGACCTCTTAATCCTCCTGCCTTGGCCTCCCAAAGTGCTGGGATTACAGGAGTGAGCCACCACGCCCGGTGTTGTGTTTTATTTCTTCCATTTCTTACCCTTTCAGTACCTGTATAGTAGATTAATAAACCCTGACTGACTGCTGAGTGCCGTGGATCACGCCTGTAATTCCAACACTTTGGGAGGCCGAGGCGGGCAGATAACCTGAGGTCAGGAGTTGGAGACTAGCGTGGCCAACATGGTGAAATCCCGTCTCTATTGAAAACACAAAAATTACCCGGGCTTGGTGGCGCTCGCCAGTAATCCCCGGTACTCGGGAACCGCTTGAATTCGGGAGGCAGAGGTTGCAGTGAGCCGAGAGCATGCCACTGCAATCCAGCCTGGCGACAGAGCGAGACTCCATCTCAAAAAAGGCCAAGTGCGGTGGCTAACACCTGTAATCCCAGCACTTTGGGAGGCTGAGGCGGGTGCATCACTTGAGGTCAGGAGTCCGAAACAGTCTGGCCAACATGGTAAAACCCCATTTATACTAAAAATACAAAAATTAGTCATGCTTGGTGGCACGTGCCTGTCTCAGCTACTCAGGAGGCTGAGGCAGGAGAATAGTCTGAGGCAGAGGTTGCAGTGAGTCGAGATTGTGCCACTGCATTCCAGCCTGGTGACAGAGCAAGACTCCATCTCAAAAACAAAACAAAACACTAATAAATAATAAATACAGCAATTCAGCAGAGCTGCTGCAAAACCAGCTTTCCCAGCTCTGGGTGCTGGAGTTTGTTTCCATAACAAGGCCCCAAGTAACAAGCAGATCTCAACAGGGTGAACAACAGTTGCAGAAAGTGAGCTGTTTCCTTCACCCCCACCCTGCTTCCTTCACTCTAAAAAGTTACAAACTGTAAGTTTCCTTCCTGATAAATTCCAAGGCTTCCTCACTGATTTGGTCTGTTTGAGAAAGGATGAGACATCAGCAACTTTGCAGACTTGGGGCTGGAGGGTTAACCAGTATATGTGTACACACACACACACACACACACACACTTTTTGAGATGGGGTCTCCCTCTGTCACCCACGCTGGAATGCAGTGGTCCAATCTCGGCTTACTGCAACCCCTGACTCCCTGGTTCAAGCAATTCTCCTGCCTCGGCCTCCCGAGTAGCTGGGACTACAGGCATGTGCCATCATGCCCGGCTAATTTTTGTATTTTTAGTAGAGATGGGGTTTCACTATGCTGGCCAGGCTGGTCTCAAACTCCTGACCTTGTGATCCACCTGCCTCAGCCTCACAAAGTGCTGGGATTACAGGCATGAGCCACTGCTCCTGAACTAACCAGTATATTGTTAGCCAATATACTATATTATTTATAAGAATCTCTCTGCAGGACCGGGTGTGGTGGCTCATGCCCGAAGCACTTTGGGAGGCCGAGGCGGGTGGATCACAAGGTCAGGAGTTCAAGACCAGCCTGGCCAAGATGGTGAAACCCCCATCTCTACTAAAACATACAAAAAAATTAGCTGGGTGTGGTAGCGGGTGCCTGCAATCCCAGCTACTCGGGATGCTGAGGCAGAAAATTGCTCGAACAGGGAGACAGAGGTTGCAGTGAGCTGAGATTGTGCCACTGCACTCTAGCCTGGGCGACAGAGCGAGATTTCAGCCTTCCCTTTGACTGAACAGACCAGCCTGCTCATTCATTCATTCATTTATCCAATTTCACTTATAAAATGAGCAGAGTACTCAATGGTGAGTGAGATTTAGAGCCACATAGGCAGAACTGGATTGATCAGCAGATGTATTGAGCATGAGTTTGTAGAACCAGGAAAGCAATAGTGGCATCAAAAATCACTTTTTACACCGAATTTTTCTTTCTTTCTTTGTGAGATGGAGTCTCACTCTGTCGCCCAGGCTGGAATGCAGTGGAGCAATCTCTGTTCACTGCAAACTCCATCTTCCTGTGTTCAAGCGATTCTTCTGCCTCAGCCTCTCAAGTAGCTGGGATTACAGCTACTATGCCCAGATAATTTTTGGATTTTTAGTAGAGACAGGGTTTCACCATGTTGGCCAGGCTAGTCTTGAACTCCTGACCTCAAATGATCCGCCTGCCTCAGCCTCCCAAGGTGCTGGTGTTACAGGCGTTAGTCACCACGCCCAGCCTCTTTTTACAAAGAATTTGATAAATATGTATATATTATATATGTATTATATATTATGTATGTATTATATATTATGTGTGTGTGTGTATATATATATATATATATATTTTTTTTTTTTTTTTTTTTTTTTGAGATGGAGTCTCTCTCTGTCCCCCAGGCTGGAGTTTGAGGTGTGATCTTGGCTCACTGCAATCTCCGCCTCCCAGGTTCAAGCGATTTTCCTGCCTCAGCCTCCTGAGTAGCTGGGGTTACTGGCGTGTGCCACCACGCCTGGCTAATTTTTGTACTTTTAATAGAGACTGGGTTTCATCATGTTGGTCAGACTGGTCTCGAACTCCTGACCTTCTGATTCACCTGCCTGGGCCTCCCAAAGGGCTGGGATTACAGGTATGAGCCAGCGTGCCCAGCTAATAAATATAGTTTTAAAGCAGCAAACCAGTGATTATGGGAAAGAATCGGTTATTTGGTTGACTTCTGCAGTGTTACTTCATAGCTTAGTATTATGTTTATTTTTGTTTCCACGTAGGGGAGAGACACCAGTTTTTCACTTTTCACTGTTCAGGGTTTCTAAATGTTGTAATCAAACCCCAATGGTGACAGGGTGGGTGAGTGGGAGTGGGCAGGTGTTAATCTCAAAGGCATGGTGCTTGTAAATTGAGCATGTTGTTACAACTAGAATACAGAGTGTGAAGGCCTTAGGGAGTCTAGTGAGAACAAATTTAAAGAGATGGAGTGGGCCGGGCGCCGTGGCTCAAGCCTGTAATCCCAGCACTTTGGGAGGCCGAGGCGGGTGGATCACGAGGTCAAGAGATCGAGACCATCCTGGTCAACACGGTGAAACCCCGTCTCTACTAAAACTACAAAAAATTAGCGGGGCATGGTGGCGCGTGTCTGTAGTCCCAGCTACTCAGGAGGCTGAGGCAGGAGAATTGCCTGAACCGAGGAGGCGGAGGTTGCGGTGAGCTGAGATTGCGCCATTGCACTCCAGCCTGGGTAACAAGAGCGAAACTCCGTCTCAAAAAAAAAAAAAAAAAGAGATGGAGTGGCAGATAAAGCTTTAAGAGCTAAGTGAAGGAGGTTAGGCTTCATGAGGCAGGGATTGAGAGCCATTGGTAGTTCTAGAGCAGAGA